TTGTATGTGTGTGACTGTTTCTCAGTATGTGTAGATGTAATATCTTGGTTTGTATAATATGTATTTGAATAGGAACATATAGAATATGTAATATTCTTCAGTAGGTATGTGTGTGTGTGTGTGTGTTTGTGAGATCAGATGAAAGTATAAATAGAAGCACATGTAGATATATATAGGTATATGCATATGATGTGCGTATATATTTGAATGTTTAGATACGTTTACTTACAAACAGACGCCTTTACATTTATTTTAAGCTCTCGCCAAACGCTATTATTTCTTTTATAAACTAATTTATTCTCTCTCACCCCACTCAGAATATTCTCAGCCCCTAGAGTCGCTTTTGTTTCTTTATATTTTTATTTTGCCTGCATTGGTTAGTTCTGTATAATATCTGTCCTGTTAACACTTTAACTCCTGGATTACTGATTGCGTTTGAGCTGCAAGTTTTACATTGTCTCACGAAACCTTGTCATTCCAAAATTCTTCAAATTCTCCCAAGTCCATTAAAAAATGTATTAGACGATGCTGCAATCTGCTCCTCTGTGGACATGCTTGTCGGTCTGTTTCGGTATAATCCTGTGTAATAAGGCGTCCAGATGTCGTGTTTCCTTGCTGCGTGGCAGGGGAATGGGGTACATAGCTAAATCCAGCACCACCCTATGCAGAGAGCGTGAGCTACTAATTTTAATATTGAAGCACGGTCCCTGAAAAAAGCCTTTACGTGGAGGGAAGACAGGGGAATTAGGAGGGCGATTCTAGGTATTTGGAGAGGTGACAGTATATTGTTTAAAGGGATACTACAGACCCTTATAATATGTTTGCTTGCTGGTCTTCTCTTTTTAGGGTCACTCATGGGGTCGCTGTACAGCCACATTTACCAGACTACAGTTGCCAAATCTATCATATTTTCTTAAACGGACACTATGGTCACCAAAACAACTTTAGCTAAATAAAGCAGTTTTGGTGTATAGACCATGCCCTTGCAGTCTCACTGCTCAATTCTCTGCCATTTAGGAGTTAAATCACTTTGTTTATACAGCCTAGTCACACCTCCCTGACTTACACAGCCTTCCTAAACACTTCCTGTAAAGAGTCATCTAATGTTTACACTTCCTTTATTGCAAATTCTTTTTAATTTAGAATTTCTTATCTCCTGCACTGTTAATAGCCTGCTAGATCCTGCAGGAGCCTCCTGTGTGTTATTAAAGTTCGATTTGCAGAGCAGGAGATGACAACTAAACCTAAAAATACATCTGATTAAAAAGGAAACCATTTTTTTTTCTTTTTTTTTGCATAAACAGAACCAAAAGTGATTTAACTCGTAAATGGCAGTGAATTGAGCAGTGAAATTGCAGGGGCATGATCTATACACCAAAACTGCTTCATTAAGCTAAAGTTGTTTTGGTGACTATAGTGTCCCTTTAACTTGAAGAACTGAAATCACTGTTATTATGGGTGTGGGGTATGGTTATATCCTACATTCCCATAAATTCTCATATTTTCATATAATAAGCATTTAATTGAGTTGTAAGTGTGTACATATGGATCTTATTTTTTTAAATTCATTATCCATATAAAGCATTAGGAAATTCCCCAGAGTTTACCTTTAATTAATCACGGCATGGCTGGTTCCCAAGAAACTACTAAGATTATCTAATTGTTTTCTCTCTTACAGCTTGTGAATTTTACATAACCACTCGGAAACACAATTCATTTCCTGCCCATGAGGATGACAGAGATAGGAGTCCAGGACAATATGGCAGATGTGACACCCTGATGATCTCTGGGGCTTACTAAGCGCAATCGCATACCGTCTCCTTCCCTTACTCTTCTACCGGCGTGTACTTAACTCTCATACCTCCACCTCCCCGTCCACAATATTATCACCCCGTACCCTTTATCCACTCTCTATCTTCTTCGGAATAAAATGGAAATTGAACATCCTTTATTACTACATTTGGATTAACACCGCTAGTTTTGGGTATATTTAAAATAAAAAAAAACATGAGAACTAGTAAACCTTGATCAGATTGAGGGTATTTACCTGCCCCTGTCTCTCTACCTAAATTAAAAAAGAACTTATTTACGTATCTCCTCTTCAAGCCAGGACGGACTACAATACGTGATGCCTTAAAGGGACACTCTGAGCACTATAACCACTACACTGAGCTGTACTCGTACAATATGCTGTAATAGTACAATTAGCTGTGCTTAATACATTGCACAGGGTGTCCCTTTGAATTAATCGCCCACTAGCCGTAACATTCACAACCAGTGTTTGCTTACGCAGACTGCGCCAGAGCTGCCATAATATAACGAACCCCATTAATAATCTGTTCAGGTTTCCCTGAAATGAAAGACTCTGGGAGATGGAGAGTATGGGGGAAATTAGCAAGAATTATTGCACGTGTAAATAGGGAGGGTTCAAGAAGAAGAATGAATGGAAATCCGTTTCCAGTTCCCGGATACCTTTCCATTTCCATATTCATGTGTTTCATATTAAAAAACTCATAAAATTTTTTATGGCACCTGAATTACTGAAGGTGCCTCCGTCGCTCTGCCTGAGTCTAGTTTTTTACTGCGGCTGATTTTCTTCCTATAAGCGTTTGCCCCTTCCCCATCGCTTTAATTTATAGACCATGACTCTCCATCTGTTTGAAAAAAATCTCTGATTACCTATTAAACATCTCACTGACTCCTCAACTGTTCGCAACCAAAACTGCATTTTTTTCTAATACTTGATATCTTCTATTCTCTTTCATTCTTTTTCTTAACCTATTAGATTGAAAGCTCACTGGGCAACTTATCTAATGATTTATCTCCCTTTCTGTAAATCCCCTTAATCATCCCCTTTATAAATTTCATGAAGCTCCCGGGATAACATTTCTCGACGACAAAATATAAAAATAACGCTTATGTCACTTTTTGTTTATTACGGGGAGAAAATGCGTTTCTTCATAAGCCCCTCATAAGCCCCTCCCACTTTAATTACATCCTGGTGGGTGTACTTTATCGGAGTATGGAGATCCTGCTATACGGGATTATCACGCTGACGATTATTTGATAAAGAGAAATTGCACAATTTAGGCAAAAATAGCTAAGATTGGACCAGAGCGGGATCGGAAGAATACCAAATCAGCTATTTTGCAATTTGATTTATAGTTCATTAGCCCAAGTGCTTCCTGTATTCAATAAGAAGGCTGCAGGTATTCATCCCATACCTTTTCCATCATCCATTGAGGAGAAAGTCTCCTTCCCACTGGGACCTCGGCTTTCTCCTGCATAATTGGCCTTTCGATTGGTTTCAGGGGATTGTGATATGTTGCCAGGAATATTGATTTTCTTCTCATTTAACTTTTTTTTTAAAGATCTAGAAGATTGACATGGCTTATTATTGTGTTAGAATGAACGTGAGAGAAAAAAACACAACCGAAAACAAAAATTTCAACATCGCAAATTGGAAATCGATGCCATAGATTAGGGAGTTTGGGATTTTACCCCTATAGGTAACATTTCCTTACTCTACTTCCTATCCTATTTAATAATGAGTAACTGTCCGTTCATAGAATAATAGAAACATAGAATGTGTTCAGCCCATCTAGTCTATGACATGTTACATTCTATGATGCGTTACATTCTATGACGTGTTACATTCTGTGAAGCGTTACATTCTATGACACATTCATTCTATGATGCGTTTCATACTATGACGCGTTACATTCTATGACATGTTACATTCTATGACGCGTTCCATTCTATGACGCGTTCCATTCTATGACGTGTTACATTCTGTGAAGCGTTACATACTATGATGCGTTACATTCTATGACGTGTTACATTCTATGACGTGTTACATTCTGTGAAGCGTTACATACTATGATGCGTTACATTCCATGACGTGTTACATTCCATGACGTGTTACATTCTATGACGCGTTACATTATATGACACGTTACATTCTATGATGTGTTACATTCTATGACGCGTTACATTCTATGACGCGTTACATTCTATGACGTGTTACATTCTATGACGTGTTACATTCTGTGAAGCGTTACATACTATGATGTGTTACATTCTATGACGTGTTACATTCTATGACGTGTTACATTCTGTGAAGCGTTACATACTATGATGTGTTACATACTATGACACGTTACATTCTATGAGCGTTACATTCTGTAGCGGAGATACAATATTCCCCAGGTTATCTCCGCTTATAATCCAAGTGAGGCTCAGGAACAAGTAAATTGTAAATCCACAGGCAAGGTTTCCAGCAGGCAAAATACAGCAGTATCCCAACAGCAATCCCAATAACTGGACGACACACAGCATCAGGAGCAGAACTGACAACCTTTATTCCACAGTGCCTTATATAGCATGCTCCCATGCAAGGGAGGGATTTTCAACAATTAGTACATTATCCAATCCGGTATTCGTAACCTCCCACACATCTCCTCCCCTCAGCCTGCATCATAATCCCCTTATTCTGTACCCAAATTCCCCCAGTTCCTGGATGTACCCCTAAACCTGGGGGTACCCCTTTAAATGGCACATCCCCTGGTAGCCCTGATCTGGGTGAGCAACATATCCAAAAATCACCCAGATCAGACTAGGGGTTCGGGAAATTTATGGAGGTACTAAAAAGACCGACCGCGCTGGATAGAACAGCCGAATTGGGTTCCATGCGATGGGGCCCTGCGGTCGGTCACAGTGTAAGGGAATAATTTACACGAACGGCTAAGGTTACAGAGATTAGGTAGGATTCACATGAATCCCCTCGTTCGGTTGTTTCTGTCTACCGAATGAGGGGCCGTTCGGTACTTTGGAACCGAACGGACTGGGCTTATGGAGGTCTCAGCGGTGTTCGTCTAGTCGAGTGTTCGATTTGGGTTCCAGACACTCGACGGCAAAACACTGCTGTTCGGGAGTTTGTAAAATGGCCGCCACCACGTGTTCGTTTCCCGAATGGCGGCCACCCCGAGACAAAGGACCTACTGCATAGCTCGTCAATTACCCGTTCGCAACATTGTCTGGTCTGATTGTTCGGTAGTTTCATTCCCTTAGTTTATTCGAATGATTCTACCGAACAATCAGAGGAATACATTTCTTTTAAAGACATATAAAACCAGCAGATCACACGAATGCAGCTATTCACATGAAATTTGCAGGACAGCCCAGTGCCATCCGCTACACATTCTATGACACATTCATTCTATGACGCGTTACGTTCTATGATGCGTTACAGTCTATGACGTGTTACATTCCATGACGCGTTACATTCTATGATGCGTTACATTCTATGACGTGTTACATTCTATAACACATTCATTCTATGACGTGTTACATTCTATGACGCGTTACATTCTATGACACGTTCATTCTATGATGCGTTCATTCTATGATGCGTTACATACCATGATGCGTTACATACCATGATGCGTTACATTCTATTACTTGCTGTTTTTCTTTTCAAATAATCTTTATTAAAGTTTTAAAATTTTGTATAACAAGTGATAATAATACAAACATTGTATTAGGGGTAGGAAAGGAAGGGTAACTTGGAAATGGGAAGGGGTATCCATCCATCATTGAAATAAACATAATGTATATGGCAAAAATGTTGTACATCAATGCACTTTAACAATAAATATATCAAAGACCATAAACTGTTTTGATTTTTTCTTCCCATTTATCCCAATTATATTTTAATACTTGCTGTTTTTCTTTGACAGATTCTGCAGTTTGCTTAGCGTTGTCATAGGAAAACAAAGCTTACACTAATCTGCTAGGAGGTTCATTTAAACAAATCCCATTACTTCTTCCGAAAGCTTTGTTTAACTCCACCACAGATCCGCAGCGAGGACCAGCGTTCTTCAGTGATTCGATAAAAACCCTCGTAAAGCAAGCCGCAGCTGGAATACCAAACATCTCAAGGTTACATTTTCACTCAATAGAGAGGGTTTTGGAAAACAAACTGCAACATTCAGGCTAAAACAGTCGCACTGCAGCTACACCTATTAATGATTTATTTATTATTATTTTATTATTTATATAGCGCCAGCAAATTCCGTAGCGCTGTACAATGGATAATTTGCTATTCTGGCCTACATTGGTTTGGAGAAATTTCCCAACGTGCATTTAACCAGAACTGTTTTAGCAAATTTCTTTACATTTGTTTTTCAATTCCACATTTCGGTGTTTAGTGAATACAGGCCTCTTTACGGCTCTGTTAGAGGGACATATAACAAAATAATATTTGTGATCCCTTTCTATTTGGTGTCCCTAAATGTGGTACCCCCATGTAATCCCATCGGGGTATAATAGTATTGCAGATCTTTTGTAAACAACCTTTAGTTTTATATAATCCAAATCCTAATCACAGGCTTCAGAGATGAATTAAAAAAGAAAGATTTTCAATTAAAAGTTTTTTAACCCCTTACGGTAATGACCAATGACATACTTAGATAGTGAGCGCGTTTGGGCCGGGCCCTGCTCCTCTGCTGTCCCCAATGTTATACGTGTTTTGTTAGCATGAAATGTTTGGTTGGTTTACTGTTGTACAGCGCTGCGGAGTATGTTGGAGCTATATGAGTAATTGTAATTATATGTCATGAAACACCGCTGTCCAGTAAGAGATTCTGACAGATCTCTGCGAAGTGATAAAACCAGCTGCCTTAGCTCTGTCACGCTGGTATAATGATGGCCGCCATTCTCCTGGACATTTAATAGCAGAGTGCACACACGCTATTAACATTAAATCCAAGATTCCCAGCAAGGAATATGCACGAATGCTTGTAATAGGGCCCATGGGAATCCACAATACACTGGGCACTGCCATCTAGTGGTATTTTTACAGTGCTGCAGCTGGGTGTGGTGGGGATTTGGCTCTGTGTGAAATGTCTGATGTTTGCCCAGATTCTTCTTCAGGGTTTATTCATGAGCAGAACTTTGAAAAAGGAAATCTATCTGAAATAATTCTCCTGCTTAGCTACAGCCACAGGTTGGCTGTTGTTTACTGCGATTAGCTGTTCAGTAAATAGCCCGGTACGGTGAGGCTGGGGTTAGAGTGTGTTAAAGGACAGTTTGCTGGTTTCCAGAATCAGACATGGTGTTAGCCATCATGTTTATTAATATTAACGACAGCTCGCAGCTTCAACCCGGCCATAAACACGTCATCTGATATTTAACAAAAAAACTACAGGGAAAAAAATATAAATACTCTTCTCCACGAATTAAAACCGAACAAAACTCATCATCCAGAGGCCTTTCATTCACTCTACAGGGAACAATTATTTTAGTATTGCTTTACAATATACATTGTCCTTCTAGGGGATCTGAAGGTGTGTGTCTATCACAGAGATCCACAGCAATGTGCAGTGTGTACAATGTATCACAGAGCTCCACAGCAATAAAACTTACAGTAATGTGCAGTGTGCACAATGTATCACAGAGCTCCACAGAAATAAAACTCACAGTAATGAGCAGTGTGTACAGTGTATCACAGAGCTCCACAGCAATAAAACTCACAGTAATGTGCAGTGTGCACAATGTATCACAGAGCTCCACAGCAATAAAACTTACAGTAATGTGCAGTGTGCACAATGTATCACAGAGCTCCACAGCAATAAAACTCACAGTAATGTGCAGTGTGCACAATGTATCACAGAGCTCCACAGCAATAAAACTTACAGTAATGTGCAGTGTGCACAATGTATCACAGAGCTCCACAGAAATAAAACTCACAGTAATGAGCAGTGTGTACAGTGTATCACAGAGCTCCACAGCAATAAAACTCACAGTAATGTGCAGTGTGTACAATGTATCACAGAGCTCCACAGCAATAAAACTTACAGTAATGTGCAGTGTGTACAGTGTATCACAGAGCTCCACAGCAATGAAACTCACAGTAATGAGCAGTGTGTACAGTGTATCACAGAGCTCCACAGCAATAAAACTCACAGTAATGTGCAGTGTGCACAATGTATCACAGAGCTCCACAGCAATAAAACTTACAGTAATGTGCAGTGTGCACAATGTATCACAGAGCTCCACAGAAATAAAACTCACAGTAATGTGCAGTGTGCACAATGTATCACAGAGCTCCACAGCAATAAAACTCACAGTAATGTGCAGTGTGCACAATGTATCACAGAGCTCCACAGAAATAAAACTCACAGTAATGAGCAGTGTGTACAGTGTATCACAGAGCTCCACAGCAATAAAACTCACAGTAATGTGCAGTGTGCACAATGTATCACAGAGCTCCACAGCAATAAAACTTACAGTAATGTGCAGTGTGCACAATGTATCACAGAGCTCCACAGAAATAAAACTCACAGTAATGAGCAGTGTGCACAGTGTATCACAGAGCTCCACAGAAATAAAACTCACAGTAATGAGCAGTGTGTACAGTGTATCACAGAGCTCCACAGCAATAAAACTCACAGTAATGTGCAGTGTGCACAGTGTATCACAGAGCTCCACAGAAATAAAACTCACAGTAATGAGCAGTGTGTACAGTGTATCACAGAGCTCCACAGCAATAAAACTCACAGTAATGTGCAGTGTGCACAATGTATCACAGAGCTCCACAGCAATAAAACTTACAGTAATGTGCAGTGTGCACAATGTTTCACAGAGCTCCACAGAAATAAAACTCACAGTAATGAGCAGTGTGCACAATGTATCACAGAGCTCCACAGCAATAAAACTCACAGTAATGTGCAGTGTGCACAATGTATCACAGAGCTCCACAGCAATAAAACTTACAGTAATGTGCAGTGTGCACAATGTATCACAGAGCTCCACAGCAATAAAACTCACAGTAATGTGCAGTGTGCACAATGTATCACAGAGCTCCACAGCAATAAAACTCACAGTAATGTGCAGTGTGCACAATGTATCACAGAGCTCCACAGCAATAAAACTTACAGTAATGTGCAGTGTGCACAATGTATCACAGAGTTCCACAGCAATAAAACTTACAGTAATGTGCAGTGTGCACAATGTATCACAGAGCTCCACAGAAATAAAACTCACAGTAATGAGCAGTGTGTACAGTGTATTACAGAGCTCCACAGCAATAAAACTCACAGTAATGTGCAGTGTGTACAATGTATCACAGAGCTCCACAGCAATAAAACTTACAGTAATGTGCAGTGTGTACAGTGTATCACAGAGCTCCACAGCAATGAAACTCACAGTAATGTGCAGTGTGTACAGTGTATCACAGAGCTCCACAGCAATAAAACTCACAGTAATGTGCAGTGTGTACAATGTATCACAGAGCTCCACAGCAATAAAACTTACAGTAATGTGCAGTGTGTACAATGTATCACAGAGCTCCACAGCAATAAAACTTACAGTAATGTGCAGTGTGTACAATGTATCACAGAGCTCCACAGCAATAAAACGCACAGTAATGTGCAGTGTGCACAATGTATCACAGAGCTCCACAGCAATAAAACTTACAGTAATGTGCAGTGTGCACAATGTATCACAGAGCTCCACAGAAATAAAACTCACAGTAATGTGCAGTGTGTACAGTGTATCACAGAGCTCCACAGAAATAAAACTTACAGTAATGTGCAGTGTGTACAATGTATCACAGAGCTCCACAGCAATAAAACTCACAGTAATGTGCAGTGTGTACAATGTATCTCAGAGCTCCACAGAAATAAAACTCACAGTAATGAGCAGTGTGTACAATGTATCACAGAGCTCCACAGCAATAAAACTTACAGTAATGTGCAGTGTGTACAGTGTATCACAGAGCTCCACAGCAATGAAACTCACAGTAATGTGCAGTGTGTACAGTGTATCACAGAGCTCCACAGCAATAAAACTCACAGTAATGTGCAGTGTGTACAATGTATCACAGAGCTCCACAGAAATAACACTTACAGTAATGTGCAGTGTGTACAGTGTATCACAGAGCTTCACAGCAATAAAACTTACAGTAATGTGCAGTGTGCACAATGTATCACAGAGCTCCACAGAAATAAAACTCACAGTAATGAGCAGTGTGTACAGTGTATCACAGAGCTCCACAGCAATAAAACTCACAGTAATGTGCAGTGTGCACAATGTATCACAGAGCTCCACAGCAATAAAACTTACAGTAATGTGCAGTGTGCACAATATATCACAGAGCTCCACAGAAATAAAACTCACAGTAATGAGCAGTGTGTACAGTGTATCACAGAGCTCCACAGCAATA